TTATCCGGAGCGATATATTGATATCGCGATTACAAAAAAGTTTTCTCATTAAAAGTTGACCGCGCAATTTCAATGCGGCATCTTATTTCTTTTGTCTGATCAGTATCTTCTGTGATCCATGCTCCAAGGTATTTGTACGAAGATATTTGTTCAATTTCTGTATTATCTAGTGCTAGCTTAACTTTGATGTTTTGTGCTTTTGTAAATACCATGAACTTGGTTTTCTTCAAATTGATTTTTAGTCCATAATCGTTGCAATATATATTTAGTTGTTCAGCAAGGTGTTGCAGTTCTTCTAGTGTTCCTGCCAAAAGGACGGTGTCGTCAGCATATCTTATGTTATTAAGTGGCTCACCGTTTATTATAAGGCCCTCACTGATCTCAGCAAGCGCTAATTCTGAGATGGCTTCACTGTATAAATTGAATAACAAGGGTGATAAAATACACCCTTGGCGGACCCCACGGCGAATCTGGATATCCTTGGTCAGTTCGTTTTCAACTTTCACTTTTGCTGTTTGATTCCAATAGAGGTTACAGATGATTCTAATGTCTCTACTGTCTATGTTTTTATTTAATAAAATTTCTTTAAGTCGATTATGCTGCACTCTGTCAAATGCCTTCTCAAAATCAATGAAACAGGCATATACTTCCTGATTAATATCTAAGCATCTCTGCGAAAGAACACTTACTGCAAACAGTGCATCTCGTGTTCCCAGACCTTTCCTAAATCCCATTTGTGTATTACTTATGCCTTCATCTAATTTCTTATGTATTCTATTGTGAATTACTTTTAAAAACAATTTCAAGACATGACTCATTAAGGCTATGGTGCGATGTTCATTGCACTCCTTTGCATTGGCTTTTTTGGGAAGAAGTATGAATGTTGATTGGAGCCATTCTTTAGGTATTATACCTGTTCTATATATGGTATTGAATAGATCCAAAAGAAGATCAATAGATTCAGTATTCACAATTTTAAGTAATTCGATAGGCCCGGGAGATTTACCATCTTTAGCTTGTTTCATTGCATATTCAATTTCTTCTCGTATAATGTCAGGCCCAGTATCATCCTTAAATTCTTTTGGTGCTTCTGTTCTTTCTTTGTCTTCAAATAGTTGTGCTATATATTGTGTCCATCTCTGCATTTTTTGGTTTATATCTGTTATAAGTGCACCCCTTTCATCTCTTAGTTGCCTAGTTTGAAGTGTTTTTCTCATTCCTGTTAATTCTCTAATTCTTTTATGCATGTTAAAAAAGTCATATTTTTTCTCAATTTCTTCTAGTTCTTGGCACTGCTCATGTAACATTCTCTCCTTAGCTTCTTTTATTCTCTTTTTTATTAATCGATCAGTTTCATTATATTTAATTGGATTTTTTGTTTTGAATGATTTTCTTTCATTCATTAATAGTAGTATTTCTTCAGTCATCCAATCTTTATGTTTTCTATTCTTTGGTTTTAAGTTTTCATTTGCTGTTTTAATTATTGCTGCTTTTATATTTTCCCATTTCTGATCAATGTTATAGCTACTTTTATTCAGTTCTTGGGCATTACGTATATTTTCAGTAAGTTTTTTACAGTTTGTTCCTTTGTTTGTGGTTCCCTTAATCTCTTAATATCAATTCTACTTTGTGTGGGTTTTTTAACCAGTTTTAATTTGGTTCGTAATGTGACTACTATGGGGTTATGGTCTGAACCGATGTCTGCTCCAGGGTAAGTTTTGGCAGACAGTATAGAATTACGAAATCTTTGTCTAATAAATTCACTATTTGTCTAATAACAAATCCACTATTTTTACCATTTATTATGGCATTAATAACGCATTCGAAACCATTTCGAAACTGTATGGTTTCGAGAAATTGTACTAGCCCTTGATTGCATGCAAATAACTGCAACAACAATTTCTGTTGCTGTTAAAATATGGAATAAATTAGAACCTTCTTTGAAAGAACTTTGATATAGAACTTTGCAATAGAACTTAAAAAACATTTTTTCTTGGGTGGTGCATTTGCAGCAAACATGTTATACCATAGGTTTCTTGAAAGACGAGTAAACAGTGTGCAAAAAGAACAAGCCTTCCAGTTTATCAGTGAGACAAATCCACTATTTTTACCATTTATTATGGCATTAATAACGCATTCGAAACCATTTCGAAACTGTATGATGAACATTTTCGAATAACAACGCCATTGATTTGGTGGCGGGCCTTCAGAAAAACAAATTTGTTGAGTTATGTGAGCAAATTGTTAACAACTAATGCAGCGACAGCAGTTTTAGAGAAACATTTTCCATCTTTTGGATTAGTTCAGTCCAAACTTCGAAAAAGGCTGTCAAAAAACAGCTAAGGTTTGTTTTCTTATTTAAATACCTCAATCAAGTGACTGGACCCCAATAGTCTAAATTCGACTGGATCTGGGAAATGTCACCTGCACCAGAGGACTATTGATTTATCCAGTTCTGATGATGTTTTGAAAAAGCATTTGACAAAGTAAGACATGAAAAATTAGTCCAAATTCTTAAGACAAAAAACATAGACCACAGGGACCTACGAATAATAACAAACCTCTACTGGAATCAAAGAACACAAATCGTAATAGATAACGAACCCAGTCCAGAAATTGAAATCAGGAGAGGAGTTAGGCAGGTATGAATTATGTCCCCACTACTATTTAATATATATAGTGAAGCCATTTTTGAAGCCAATATGGAGTTGGACCTGAACGCTGGACATTGAAGCAAGAACACAGAAGAAAACTAACACGGAAGTATTGCCAGAAATTGTCAAAGAATGCGAAATAATAAACACAATAAAAATAAGAAAGTTACAATATCTGGGACACGTAGTGAGGGAACAGCGATATGAACTGTTAAGGCTGATAATGCAGGGAAAGATAAGAGGCGGAAGGAGTATAGTGTTACGATTTTAAATGTTATGGCGTATAGAACTGTAAATATTTTATGACTAATTCTTTTTTATTGATTCTCGTAATATGTAGGTCAAAATCTACCTGAGACACGTTAGGTTCCCCTTCGCTATAACAGCGACGAATACGAGTTTTCTGGAACCGCTTCGATACCAGGTGTTAGATCGTTGCCGCTCTGTCTACTAGAGCCTCGTAAATACGAGATGATTCTATGAAGGTCGCCGAACTTTCCAGATAGCGGAAGTTTTTGTATACAAACGACACATTTTTATTTTGAAGTCAGTCATAATAAGATCGGGAAACGCGATTTAATTGTAACGAAACATAAATAAATTATTTGTAATATAAATTAGGATTAATACAGACTTTAATAAATTCGTAATTAGTTATCGTGAGTTTTAATAAATTAGAATATAGACAATAAATTAGAATAAAGACAAATAAATTAGAACTATATAAATATACAACAATAGGAAGAAGGAGAGTGTCTTGGTTGAAGAATTTAAGGGACTGGTTTAAATGCAGTTCTATAGAACTCTTTAGAGCAGCAGTAGATAAAGTAAAGATAGTGATGATGATATCCAACCTCCGATTGGGGGACGGCACTTAAAGAAGAAGAAGATGATGAACCATTAATCGGCTTTATAAAATAAATTTGATTTCTTTATAATTTAAAGTTCTTTTTGGTATTCATTACATTTTTTTAAGCCCTTTTCTCTCCTCGGATTGCCGAATATAGGCCTCTCCTAATTCTCGCCATTTATCTCTGTTATTTGTAAGACGTTTCCACATTGGCCTGCAGTTCTTTTAATATCGTCGCCCCATCGCATTTGTGGTCTTCCTCGTGGTCTTTTGGCTTCATATGGCGCCAATTCCCGATTTCTTTATTCCATCGGCCATCCGTAAGACGTTCGTTATTGTCAGCCCATTTCCATTTCAGTGTAGCTGCGTGTTCGACAGCATCTTTTACTTTTGTTCTATTACGAATGTCTTCATTGGTTTTATGGTCTTTAAGTGAGATACCCAGCATCTGTCGTTTCATAGCTCTCTGAAGTTTTTCTGATCTTCTCCATGTTTATTTTAGTGAATGTCCAGGTTTGAGCTCCATATGTAAGCACAGGTAGGATACAGGAATTACACACTTTGGTTCGCAGTCTTTGAGGTATATTTTTATTTTTAAGTACGTATGAGAGTCTTCCGAATGCTGCCCATCCCATTTTTACACGTCTGCTTATTTCGGTAGTCTGATTTTTCTTGACATTTTGACCCAGATATGTATATTTATCTACGTGTTCTATCTCTGTCCCTTCCATGTTTATCATGGGTTTGTCATCTTTGTTTGACATTAGTTTAGTTTTACTGAAATTCATGTTCAGTCCTTTTTTTAGGGATTCTGTGTGTAGTTCTGTATTTAGTACTAGATCATATGCGTATCTAAGATGGTTCAAGTATCTTCCGTTAATAGGGATTCCTTTATTTTCGCAGTCTATTGACTTAAAGATATCTTCTAGGGAAGCTGTAAATAATTTTGGGAGATATTGTGTCTTCTTGTCTTACTCCTCGGTTGATTTTTACTAGTCTTGTTTCGATTCCATTACCCAATGTGACTATCATTTCAACTTGTTCGTAAATATTATGTATTAATATTCTGTACCTAGAGTCGATCAGGTTGTTGACTAATGCTTCTTCTATTGACCATAGTTCTACGCTATCAAAAGCTTTTTCATAATCTATAAAAGCCAGACATAATGGGAGATTGTATTCGTTAGTCTTTTCTATTAGAATTTTTAAAGTGTATAGATGGTCACAGGTGCTGTACCATTTTCTACATGGGTATTGGAAAACACATAATACCGAACATGCAAAATAAATATTAATATTTTGGATATCTATGTATTTGATATAATATATCGATATAATTATATCCGATATTTTAATATTTATATAAATATCATAATATTTTCGAAGCCTGGGTAGAATATACACCCACTACTAAAGTCCTGCCCTGTATATTCCAACGTTAGCCTCCAAAGGCATAATGTCATGAACGAACACAACCTTACTCCAAAATTATATAATGACAATCGACAGAATTGTCAAATTTAAAGTATTGATCAAAACATTCAGTACTAAACTTCTTAAAAGAAAAAGAAAATTCAGTATGAGTTGTCCGGTAAATATTGTTTGCATTTGTATTTTATTACTAAAAAATATTTGTTAAAAAATAAATTACGTTTAATACACTAAATATATTCTTTTTTAGGTTAAAAGTCAATGTCAAGCAGCTAAGGGAAAAACTTACAGGATCGTAATGATACGCCACGGAGAATCCGAATGGAATAAAATGAACCTTTTTTGCGGATGGGTCAATTCCGAATTGAGCGAAAGAGGCAGAAATGAAGCCGTAAGATCTGGCAACGCTATCAAAGAAGCGGGTTTGAAATTCGATCAAGCATACGCTTCAGTATTAAAGAGATCTCAGGATACACTAAAGACTATTTTAGAAATTATAGGCCAAACAGACATCCCCACTGAATATACTTGGAGATTAAATGAAAGACATTACGGAGGACTTACAGGTTAAATTTATATTGGTTAATTAAAAAATCGATAATTAATTTGACAATAATTGTCATTTTATCTTCTATATATCTTAACTATAAATATTGTATTGTTAGAGGTATGCCATTAATGAAGTTTATTTCTAAATCGGCTAATTATTTACGTAACTGGTTAGCTCATGTAAATTAGTTGTATTAAAGTACTTTATTAAACATATCAATAAATGCAGCAAATGCTACAAAATATTATCAGTATACGTGTGAAAAATTTACATTTTAACATTCTATTACATACAGTAGTATTTAGTTATTTCTAAATTCAGCGTATTTAAGTTTTAGGCATGACTTATTCAAATGATCGCGCTATCTCAATCCAGAACTCTACACTTTGCTGCAAAAGTTGCTGGACAATGTCCTCATTTTCGCTTCCAATATTATCTTTTAGTTGTTGTATGATTCGAGATTTAAGTAAACTCGAAAACACTTTTCACTTTAGATAGTCTCGTCACATGGTTCGGCTGATCTAGGGGGTTAAATCATGTCTCAAACATTGCTATTAATTTTCGAGAGAAGAGTACAAGTACAACATTCAATGATTCCCTTACAGTGGGAACCGCGACTACATCTTACTGTACCATGTATTAATAGAGCCCTATTAACAGAGCCAAAAAATGTTTACCGTGATTCACTAAACAGTTACTATTTGTGATACAAGTCCTTCGGCTTGGTCATGTCCAATATCTGAAAATTTGCAGATATTCTTCAAGTAAAATACAAAATAAAAAAATGAATTGATTTTTTAGCACACGGTTTTCGAAAAACAATAATTTTGCTCTAAAAATCCTAAATTACATTAAACTAATATTAAGTTTGGAAATACATTTTCTTCGAACTAATTACTTATACAGTCGACTTGGGTATACTTGGGTATTCTCAAAGCAGCTGAGTACCTTTGTAATAGTTAATTTTCCACGTTCGAATCGCTGATACGTCGAAAACTGTCTTTGGTTGAAACCGAAGAGACAAGGCATAGATCGATTGATTAATGGCAGAACCTATTGCATTATTAGTAATTTTTTATTGTAGTTATACTCGGCGTATCTCTTGAAACGTTCAAACTGGACTATTAAATCCGCATGTTATATTATCGTAACCGTCGATCGACACTTTTTCCCACTCTTTCGCATTATTCTTTCCTGTTTTTTTAATTAATATAACATGCTTAATTTGTGGTTAAATTCAATTTCAGTTTCTTAAAAATATTTCGTAAAGTTTTTCAATAGCCACTTAATTTGATAAGCGCAGTAGACACGTCGCATTTTGTCGATATAAATTCTATAAACAATTTTATTTGGCAGTTCAGTTCTTCGTTTTGAACCAACTACGGCGTTTCTTTTAATATTCTTTTTGTGTAATACTGAGTTTTGGTTTTTTCTCGCGTAGAAATAACGCGGTTAGGTCCGGAGCAAATGCCCACTTATAGATCTTTTAAATTGCCTTGTATTTATTTTTGGATTTTTTCCTAACGGTACCTTTTGGATTTTGGAGGTTCTGTTGAGATTTATCTGAGGATATTTTTATGGTTTATTCTTGGTATTTATTCTTGTACCAAGGACGTTTCTTAGGATTCGATTTGGGGTGGATTTAGAAAATTGGCCAAGCCATCGATGATTATCGTAAATTCGCAATAGGCATTTTCATCAGATCAGGCAAGCAGGCCTGATCGAAAAACTCCACCAAGCTGGACAGCCGATACCTTTCTAAAAATCATCAATTCCTGTCTCTCTAATCCGATAGTTCGAGTACATAATTTGCAGACAAATTATCTACTCCCTTTACTCCGCAAGCCTAGTTCCAAAGGACTCACTCTAGCGACGATACTATATACACAGTTTCTAAAGTATTCTTTTGTTTTTTCATGCAAGAATACTTCTAGAGTTTCTAAAACTGCACCAAGAGTAATAAAAGGTTTTTAAAATGAAGAAGAAACAGCAGAACACATACAGCCGTCTACAACTGGAGGTTAATTGGTCACAGCTATCTGTAACAGGCCTTTTTAGAACCTTATCGGGTACCACACGTAGCTCCGAATCTAATAACAGGCCTTCTTCTTACGGTGCCTTATCCTTAAGGACGTTGGCCATTACATTTGCCCATTTAATCTTATTTGTAGCAGCCCTGAATAATTCTATGGAGGTCATGTTCGTCCATTGCCGTAGGTTTTTAAGCCAAGAGTTGCGTCTTCTTCATGGTCCTCTTTTGCTATTGACTTTGCCTTCGATTATAAGTTGGAGCAGTTCATACTTTTGATTTCTTATGATGTGACCAAAATATTGTGTTTTCCGTTCTTTTATTATAAGCATAAGCTCTCTTTCCTTATTCATCCTCCGCAAGACTTCCGCATTTGTCGTATGGCTCATGTAGGATATTCTGAACATTTTACGGTAACACCAGAGTTCGAATGCTTGGATTCTTTTTTGTGTTGCTTCTGTCATTGTCCAGGCTTCAACACCATAGAGCAAGGTGGAGAAAACATAGCACTTAAGTATTCTAGTTCTCAATGAGATGCTCAGCTGGCGGTTGCCTAGAACTTTTTGCATTTTGTAAAACATTGTACGTGCCTTTTCCAGGCGTATTCTTATCTCTAGTGAGTGGTCCCAAGTTTCATCAAGATTACTTCCAAGGTACGTTTTTCTTGTTACTCTTTCCAGATCTGTTCCGTCGACATTGACCTTCACCCTTCTGTTTTGGTGCTTGCTAATGACCATCGTTTTTGTCTTCTTTGTATTCAATTTCATTCCAAATTCTCTACAGGCTGTCGTTACTCGGTCCATTAAGCGTTGCAGGGCTTCAGCATTATTTGCCAGTATGACAGTGTCATCAGCATATCGCAGGTTATTCAACAGGTCAAACAGGTCAACAGGCCTTCAACAGGTCAAAAATATCTAGAAGTCTAGATATTTTAGACCAAAATGTGGAAGGACACACACAAGATCCTTCAGGTCGCAGTGTGAAAAGATCTGCGAGATCTCATTTGGGAATGAATAATTTTAAAAATAAGTAGTGCAACCTTGAAAAACGGAGTTAATCTCATTCGGAGTAAGCATGCTTCAACCTTGCGGCAACGATTGGTTGGCAATAGACAGGAAGGATTGGTGACTTAGACTAAAAAAAGTAAAGGCTGAACTTGAGCTATACAAGCCCTAACAATGATATGTTGAAACAAGCATATTTTCAAATAAATACAATTTCCGAATTCTGTATTTTAATTATTTTTAATTGTAAATATGAAATTAACAACACGTTTTATTGTATGGAATTATTTTTACAGTTTAATTATATATTTTATGTTGATTACTATTCAATTAATTGTTTGATAGTCAAAAAATGCTGACAACTAAATGTTGGAATAAGATGTTTTTAACAAATTAAAATAAAAAATTAATAGCGTCGCAATTAGCTTGAAAAACAGCCTGAACTCTATTAGTCATTGTGAGGTCTTCACAGAATTCAGGGGTGAGACTATCTCATATATTTCTTGCAATTTAGAACGTAGTTACGGCAAAGTACGCTGAGGGTTATTTCTTAGGCGTTGTTTAATTTTGTGTCAACATGTCTCTATTGGATTAAGATCCAAGCTACTAGAAGGCTGGGACAAAACTTCATTGCCATGTTCTCCTATCCATTTTTTGGTAGATTTAGCCGTATGGCATGTGTCTCCGTCCTGCTGAAATATAAAATCTCCGGATGAATATAGCTTTGCCGCACTTGGTAGAAACGAATGTTCCAGGATATTTTGATATTTGGCAGCGTTTACTATGGCCCCAATATAATTTAAAGTTCCCAACCCTTTGACCGACATACAACCCCCCACCATGATGCCCTGTTGAAACTTTACAGTCCTTTTGAGATAATCCTTATGGAATGCTTCTGTTTTTTCCCTAAGTCCGTATGACGCTTTCTATAATCTCCCACACATATATCAAATTTGCTTTTGTCGCTATAGATAACTTTGTCTCAGTTATGTTTGGTCCACCAAAGTTTTGATTTAGCCCAAAATGTAACGATTTCCTTTTTTGAGTTTCCGTCAAAAGTGGTTGTTCTTTGGCCACTCGAAAAAAAAAAAACAAAAATACCAAATTTACATCGTACAGAAGAACCTATCAAATATACCTTATAAAAACTAAGACCGCTTTTTGTGGATACATTTGTGACAGCATTTTCTGGAAACATTCATCCCAGTTTCTGTATTCCACGTAGCCACCTACTTCTGGTAGTGTATTTCTTCTTCCCGACTTATATATTCCAATTAAATGCCTTACACTCCTTTGAGAAACAGCTTTTGGACGATCTGAGCTTTTGCCGCGAACATCAATACTGGCCGTTTCACCATATTTCTAAATTACATTAAACACTACAGTCAATTCACTGGAAATTTGACCAATTTGCTTTCTCTTTATGGCATTGGTGAATAATAATTTCTCGAACTTTTGGATCAGTACGTTTTCCACGTGTCATTATTGTATTTTACTCATAATAAAACTTAAGCTTGTTAATTATTGTTACTCAAATAATGCATGACAATTATTGTTGACAACGCACTATCTATTCCTATATGTGATTTCCAAGCCTTCTTTGCCCTAGGCTGATAAAATTTAGGAAACCTGAGGAAAGGCAAGAAATGTTCCAATATTTAGTTGTCAGCAGTTTTCGATTAAAAATTAATCAAACAGTAATCAATATAAAATATATAATTAAGCAGCAAAAATAATTCCATACATCATAAAAAATGTTTGTTAGTTTCATATTTACAATTAAAAAAATTAAATAAAACAATTTAGAAAAATTGGCATTATACTCGCAAAATAACTGCTTGTTCCAACATATACTCGCAATTGTTAGGATTCGTAGTACCAATGATAATAAAAAAGTAGACAGAATTACAATTTGTGTATTCATGTATATTGAAATTAAAAAAAAATTCTTATATTGTTTCATTATTTGTCTCTTTACAGCAACCTATGATGCCAATACTGATTACCCAAAAAAATAATCGTTTAACTCAAAAAACAATAGGATTTACTAATGAAAAATGATTTTTAAAACAATATGTTTTAGGTTTAAACAAATTAGAAACGGTTGAAAAATATGGAGAACAACAAGTTCAAATATGGAGAAGAAGTTTTGACGTACCCCCACCTCCTCTAACTCCCGACCACCAATATTACAATGTTATACTAAACGATCCAATATATGCCAATGGGCCACCTAAAGACCAATTTCCTATGTTTGAATCTTTAAAACTTACTATTGAGCGAACACTACCATTTTGGAATGAGACTATAGTGCCGGCAATGAAGGTAATTTCTAATTTCAAATTAAACAAAGGTTTACGATAAAAATGAATATAAACCAATTAGCATTAAAAATACACTCAATAGATTTTGATAAAACTGTCGAAAATTTCTATTTTTTTTATTGTAACTTTTGTCAACGACTGGTACAATTTAAAAGACGATTTTGAAATACGCAATTCCCATTTTGATGCCACCTAGCGTAATGTAATTTGACTGAATGTTCCCTGGAAAGTTCAGATCTTTTAACGGATTTTAACGATCGTAGATTTACAGCACTCAACCGTATTCTAACCATTTTTTTACTAATATTTATGTTTCTGACATGTTGAGGATTGATTCTAATCTCTCCAGTAGTTGAATGACGGTTTCTTCGTACATTCTAAGCTACTATCTGTATAAAACACGGAAATTAAATACTGGTTGTACGGTATAGTGAAACTCTAACTAAATTGACTGTGTCCTTAATTACGGCAGGAATAGCGGCAACAATCATAGACACACTCAAGTATTAATAATAGACTCATTATGATCAATAAATATATATTACACAAAGCAAAAAATTGAGTGTGTAACTAACTTGTACGTTAAAGATAGGAGAGATGATCACTTTAATATTCTTGAGATTCTACTTCTGGATATGTTCTAATTGGAAGACATTTCTCAATCAAAACTAGCGTCAGGATATTTTATTAAAACGCGTACATTCTTGTACCTTAAAGTGGAAAGAGAAAATGAAAAACCAATTAAAAATTTGAGTATTTTTATGATAAATAAGAAGAGTCTCCGTATTTCATATCAGTGAATGAGAATAAGATAATATAGTTATAATCCTTCTGTTATAAACTGGTCGCATCGAGTCAATTGTATCTTCCAGAAACCGGTCGCATCTGCCAATCATCCATTCATTCATGATATCCATTCCAGAATTCTGGAACCTTGTACCAGGTTGAACAGGTCTAGTGGATTGGTACTATATGTTTTTGGAGTCACTTGGTAGACTCCAAAAAGTATTTGCCACCTGCTGTCTGCTGCATTACGTTTAAGTGTACCTACATTAGAACCGTATTTCTCCCGATCCGATATCTGGCGACGTCGGCCGACGTCGGATTAAAAACAAACTCAAGATATTAAATCAGAGTGCCTATACTGCTTCGTCATGGAAGTAGTATAGGCACTATGATTTAATACCTTGAGTTTGTTTTCAATCCGACGTCGGCCGACGTCGCCCGATATCGGATCGGGAGGAATACGATTCCAATGTAGGTGTACACTAAGTTAAGTCAAATTAAGTTTAATTTTAGAAAGTCTTTGATACATTTTCCATTAAGTACATTTTCAATTTAAAATTTTCAACATTTTTTAAAATTGAAATAATCTTCATTTCCTATGCACGACACATGTCAGTTGTCATTTCTTCAAAAAGCATTTAAAAAGCCAGTATTGGATCCTACTCAGTCTGTCTGTACAGACTTTAGCCCTATCCAGATGGTTGGGTCCTTGTACCCGTACCATCAACAATTTTTTTTAATGTGTTTCTTGTGAATTCTCTTAATGTGCTGCCTTTTAGATGTTTTTTTTTAAACTTTTGCAAAGTTTGCTTTGAAATTTTCTATTTTTTCGCCAATGGGGTCTCTCTTGAGTATTAGTTACTTATTTTACTGTAGCACACTTTTCTATTCCATTCATTTATTTGTCCAGTGTTTAGAAAACATATCAGTCTTCTTAGTTAGTACTTTCATTGCCGTGTATATCCGGTGACTTAAAAAACCCTTATGTCAATTTCTCTTGCACAATGTAAGATTGCGTAAATTTCTGAGTGGCAAGGCAAACAGGTATTGACACCTGTCATAATTTAAGAATTGCCCTTTTTGCTTCACATTTGACCACTATATCACTGATACATGTGTTATTGTTGGTTTCTACACAATGTTCATCTACATCATTTATGTTATAGCCCTACAGTAGAACATCAACCTTCCCAAGTCTATTTCGCCAGTCAGTCCTGTCCACTCTGCTCATATGAGAGAGAATAGAGAGCATAAAACAATAGGAGCAGCAAACTGGCAAGTTTGCTGCTCCTATTATTGTATAAATTCATACTTAAAATATTAACAAACAAGAAATTTCGAACTGGTCAAGCAGACTTTAGACCACAATCTATATTATATAATATATATATTATAAATATCTATATAATATATAATAATAATGGAACAATCGGTTGAATGGAACACACCACTATACATGGTTTTTGTTGACTTCGAGCGTGCCTTTGACAGCTTTTGCTTTAATAGCTAAAAAACAGCTCACATAAAATAATTTCCATTATAAAGTCACTGTACAGTGAGGCGAAATGCAGCGTGACACACTAGGAATCAACAGGGACGAAGTTGACATACTTACTGGAGTCAGACAGGGATGCGTGCTTTCTCCGTTTCTTTTTAACATAGCAGTAGACTATGTTCTCTCCAAACTAGATTCCGACACAAGAGGGATACAATGGACATTAACCACACGCCTAAGCGATCTGGAATACGCCGACGATATCTATCTGGTAGGACAAAGGTTCCAAGATGTGGCTGATCAATTGGAAACACTTTCCACAGAAGCCAATAAAGTAGATTTAAAAATCAATATTAGTAAAACCAAATCCATGAGAGTAAATGCAAGATACAACACGCTATTTACTATCAACAACATGCAAATTGAAAATGTGGAAAACTTTACGTATCTTGGAAGTGTCATAACAGAAAGCGGAGGTACAGAAGATGATATTCGTATGAGGATACGAAAAGCTCAACAAGCATTCAGCATGCTCAACCCTGTTTGGAGATCTGGCGAGTATACTACAAGAACAAAGAGCTGCATATTTCAGTCAAATGTCATGTCTGTTCTACTCTACAGATTTGAAACTCAACATCTTGGTCCATAATAGGTCCATTTTTATTGAGGGCAACTTGAATAGTAGAGTATACCTCGATTTGTTACAGATTTATCAGTGGAACAAGCGATATTAAGAAGCCTGCGCGATCTCCAGATTTTACACCCATGGGCTTCTTTTTTTGGGGACATTTAAAAAGCATCATCTACGATTATCTTGAGGCTAGAACCCAACATTTGGATGAATTAAAAAACGTATATAAGAAAAGTTGCAAATTCTGTTACTTCAGAAAGTCTTCACCTGTCCGCATAAGTTTTAGGACATAAAGAATTATTTCTTATTTTATTACGAATTATTTTTTATTTTCAATAAGAGTATATTTTTTATCTTTTTAAAGAAATGCGCTTTTATTTATAATTCAACCACAAAAAACTGTTCACATTATTAAAAACCGATACAAATGCACCGCCTTATAAAAGTTGGTGTATTTTATATAGAATTTATGTTATAAGAAATGAACCGGTTTTACGTAATGAAAATAAAAATCGATGGACGGAGGTGATTATCCCATATTGTTAGGTGTTACTAAATGGGTAAATGGTTTTCTCGTTTTCTGTCTAGGTGTCGGAGAATTTACCTCGTACGAGGCAATGTTGCCGATTTTAGCGCTTTATGTAGTGTAAAATATCTAATCCAAAACTTAACATACTGTATTTTATGACACATAGGTATAATTACACATCAACCTGCCACTCGTGGCAATGCAAGAAGGCTTGACACCTTGCATAATTTAAGGATGGCCTTTGGCCATCATATCATTGATGGATGTGTTATTGTTGGGTTTCTCACTCATTACAATCAATTATGGCTAATACCATATAAAAGATTATGTAATAAACCTTTATTTAGAAAATTCTATTAAAGTATGTCAGAAACTATATATTCCATGACACACAAGTAGCTAGAACTGGAACCTGCCACTTTTTGACTTTACATTGTAATTCTCTAGAAACTAAGGCTGAAGCCACTGACAACTATTTTATACTTCGATTATAAGCACAACATTTTTTATGCGCTTTGTTAGTCATTTACTATTTTTAAATATTTTGTGAACTTTGATTTCAACTGGTTGAATGGATCAAACATATAGTATGTTTTAATGACTTTTTGTCAATCTATGAAATTATTTTATTCTTGTTTAAATAATAAATAACACTTTTAGTCAGGAAAACGAATAATAATAGCAGCACATGGAAATAGTCTGAGGGGGATTGTCAAACACCTAGATCAAATGTCAAATGAAGAAATCATGAAACTAAATCTTCCTACAGGTATACCTTTCGAATATGTTCTGGATGAAAATATGAAACCAATAAAAAGCTTGCAGTTCATGGGCGATCCTGAAACAGTCAGAAAGGCAATGGAAGAAGTTGCAGATCAAATAAAAAAGAAGTGATTATACAATACTGTAAATACTGAACTATAAAAATAAATTTAAAGAATGTATTGTTGTTTTCTTCTACTATTTTCAGTAGTAAGGAAGATATAACTATTTTTAATGAAGTTACTTTAAACAACTGTTAAAGTCTATCTGTTTGCAACTAGCTTCTTTACGTGCCATCTCTGTGGCGAAGGTTGGCAATCATCACTACTATTCTAACTTTTGACAGTACAGCCTGAAAGAGTTCAGTTGAGCTGCATCCACACCATTCTCTGAGGTTTCTCAGCCAGGACATTCTTCTTCTACCTATGCTGCACTTTCCTTGAATCTTTCCCTGCAATATTAGTTTTAGGAATTCATATCTGTCACCACATGTTATATGACCCAGATATTGTAGTTTTCTTATTTTGATGGAATCCAGTATCTCCCTGCTATTCTCTATTTTTCTTAGTAGTTCTTCATTGGTTATTCTCTCTACACAGGAGATTCTCGGCATTCTTCGATATGTCCACATTTCAAATGCTTTCAATTTATTGAGACATTGGTTATTTAAAGTCCATGTCTCCACACCATACAAAAGAACAGAAAATACATAACACTTTAGTACTCGTTTTATAAGATTTAGGCTGAGGTCTCTACAACATAATATTTGTTTCATATTATTGAATGCACTTCTAGCCTTTTCTATTCTAATTTCTTTGGTATAATCGTTTGTTTCATTAATGTTTGCCCCTAAGCAGTTATAATTCTAAAATTGTTCTATCGCCTTATTGTTTAGGTGTAGATTGATGTATATATTTTTCTTTGATATAACCATGAATTTTGTTTTCTTTATGTTTAGTGACATACCAAATTCTTCACTCGCTGCAACAACCTTATCTAAAATTCTTTGATCTGTAATATTTTCTGCTATTAGTATTGTATCATCAGCATATCTAATTTCGCGTATGGGTAGCCATTTATTTTTATACCTGCTACTTCATCTTCTAATGCTTTTTTGGATATTTCCTCTGAGTATGCATTAAACAGTGATGGCGACAAGACACAGCCCTGTCTAACACCTATTTTGATGTTTATTTTATTAGTTTTTAAATTATTTATTCTTATATGAATAATCTTCTTGTTCAATTCTTTTTCAGTATTTATTACATTTGTTCATTATAATGCGTTGTTATAGTAGAACATAGGTGTACATCTATACCTTATTTAATTAAGCGATACAGGGCATATAAACAACGATAAATTTAACAGATAATTGTTAAAGATGTTCCAAATGAGTCTACTTGTTCAGATAAGTAATAGTATAATTATGACACTTTATTATTTTTTTTCTTTTCTCAAATATTCGTGTTTATGGCATAGTAAATAAATTAATGTTATCATTGAATACATAGAAAGTGAAAAAATTATCCGATTTATAAAATTAATGAATATTTTATGCATAAATGTAAGTAACAGTTCTTCAAAAATATTTAAAAACTAACCGAAGTGTCCATCTTTATTGCGTCTGCCGACGTTCTCGGCAGCTCATACCAGTTCGGACACGATTTAATGTTTACATCTTCCTGCATCGCTTAATGAATTTTGTCCTAACTTTTTATATATTCTATTCTATATTCCTAATCTTTAGGGATACTTTCAGTATGTGGCACATTAGACTGATGGTATGGTGATCTGCGTTTCTGTATGGTCATTGTCTGGCTTTTTCTTTTTTGGTATAGTCACGAATGTTGATAGAAGCCATTCTTTAGGTAATATACCTGTTTTATGATATTAAACAATTCAACCATAATATGTAAATTGCAGTTGGCGATAAGTTGCAATATTTCTATCAGTATTTCGTCTGGTCCTACTGCTTTCCCAGTTTTCATTTTATTTCACTTTCTGTTATTTCTGGTTATTTCAGTCTCTTCAACAAAAATTCGTTATCTATTTTGTCTCGTTTGTCATTAAGCAGGTGTTCTATGTTGTTTGCTCATACCATCAATTTGTTTTCTGTATCCATTACTGTGTCTCCCTTTTCATCAAATAGTATATTTTGTTTGTATTCTGGTCTTCTAGTTAATTCGTTTATTTTCCTGTGTAAATTAAAGCTGACATGTTTATTTTGTAGCATTTCTATTTCATCACATTTTTCTTTGAACCAATATTCTTTTGATATTTGAATTTGTCACCGTATTTTGTTTTGTGTTTGCTGTTACAATGATTTATTTTTGTCCCTGTATACTCTTCTTTTGTTCATCACATCAAGTTTAGTATTTCATCTGCCATCTTTTTTTTCTTTTCTTTGGTTTTGTGTAGATACTTTTTTGAAGGTTCTATTAAGTCGGCCTTTATTTTTTTCCAGTTTTACCAATCATTACAAATGCAAATCTTCATTAATCTGCAAACAGCAAGTACAGTGGTCAAACTGAAATCACTAAAAATAATATCTCCTCGTGTTAAAATGTAGTTTTATCCAGTCAGTCAATTGTATCTACTTTTTTCCATGAGACTGTTGGTAACCTTTTCACTAATTTTGAATGATAGCTAGCGTTTCCGAAAACAGCATTATTTGGTAGAAAATTCAATACAGGAGAAAAATAATCCTCAAAAATATCAGAGTTTATTTCTCCATGGTAATCTTTAGTGAAAATTGCAGAGCATAATGGATTGAAAAAGAAGTTGTGATTAATTCTGTTTTTTGTGCTCTTAACAAGTAGTTCATGTTTATTATTCAATAGGGCTTATATAATGTTTATTAAGCACAAACTTTTAGGTAGAGTTCCTGTCATATAAAATTGGTACACTTCTTTTTCCCAATGTAAACCTGTGTTCAGACTTGGTTCGTGAAGCAATTCGTTGTTGCCATCACAGATAACAGAATTGCACTAAATCTAAATAAAAAAAGAATGTTCAAAAATGTTGAAAGTTTTTATATATGCATTATTATTATCATTAACAACAAAAAACCGTATCTAATAAATTTAATAACCAGAGAGTGTTGCGTTAATGCCCAAAATCTTTAAACATAGATTATTGACACACGAACATTGGAATGTATCTACTGTAATTTTATAATGTGTCTGTCGCACAGCCCTCCTTTTAGCTGATTTGATACAATATTTCGTTGAACTTCCAACATTACCATAGAAATTAGAATGACATATGTGACAAGATCAACTTACACAACTTGAAAAACATGATTTTCAGTTATAAGAGTTGTACCAGTTTTTTATGACGCGAACAGTACCAATATATAAATATGTAATTAAAGTTAGACTGCTTTTTTTTTTAAATGGTTGCATATTGTCGGTGCAATGCCACACCCACGAATGTGCAAAATGAGCGTTAGGAGATACACAACTTTTAAACTTTCAATTAGTTGACAAAATTCAGGATTTAATGCGACTTTTTTTTTTGTACTTTTAATATCAGATGTTATGGTTATATTTTAGAAATATTGTCAGAGATTTTCGAAAATATCCATTATTTTTCGGAAAAAGTCACATTTGTGATTGCGGCATTATAGTTTTTGTAGTAAAATGCATATACGTGAAATTATATCAACCTTTATTATGGTAAAAGTGGAACAAAAAGTACCTTCTAATAATGAAAAATAACAATAAAAAAGATAGAAGTAATAACATACTTAGTAAAAGACTTCATATTTTAGAATAATTAATTCTCGTCTGAATCCTCGCTTTCAATTGGCTCCGGTAAATTCTCCTTTATATTTTTATCTGCATTTATAGAATTAGAAAAGTTATGATAGTTCTTTGGAATTGTAAAATCATTACACATTTTCTGCAGATCTTTATATTTAGCAATCGCAATTGGCAACTGCTTATCATAAGCTTTCTTCAAGTCAACGTTTTTGGGTCGACCACGACTTTTCATGCAGTTTACTTGTTGAAATTCATCTCCAAATTTTGTTTTATAGGACATTGTCACCATGGCATTGGTTTTAATGTATCGTAACCAGCAAACTTGTTGCCAAGGAATTTGGTTCAATGTATAGTTCTGTATTCCAAAGGACTTGAAATCAAAGACGTCATCAAACATTATGAATCTGACTTCAAATGGACGTGGATGTGTTCGAGCATTTCTTATTATCTGAGCCCAACCTTCTGGTGAATAAACAGGGACATATTTTGATTTTTGTTCGATTTTCGTGTGGAGTGAATTACACTCCATCTCGGTATGCCCTATTTCAAAAAACTTGTGATCAATCGTTTTTAAATTAGTATGATCCGTAAGAAGTTTCAAGCACATAGCAGCAAAATGTGATATTTCTTTGTTGCCCGCCACACCCGTCCGACATCATTCGAACCTCAGTAATGGTTGGTTGATTATCCTCAGGAGGATATCTCGTTTGACCCCCTTTTTCCTTGGGTTTCGTCCCAAGGGTGGCAGATTCCATCCTGATTTCCTAAGTTGTAGAGAGTCAGGTTGTAAATAGCCAATTTTCGTAGGTAAAATATTTGTCCTGTTGGACCCTTTGGAGTCGTAAGCACTGCTTTGAGGTCAAAGTTAAACGATAGTACCTCCAAATTATTCTTTGAAATTTCTTTGTATTCGTCTCTAGCCTCACAAGCTAATTGCTTCCTTAGCATGAGTTCGTGATGAGCCTGTTCGTGTGTTATTTTTTCCTCCTCTGTCAAATTCGTATATTTTAAGCACTTTTTACAGTGGTCTTTTTTGATTTTATGGAACCCCAAGTGAGCACTTTAATTTGTACAATTTGTGCATAATAGAGACGTTTAGTGCAGAATCCAAATACTTTTTGGTACTAGAGACCCTATAGTAATGCGACTCTACCGCTGGAAATGATAGAATGTGCTCACGAATCAGCAGTTCATCATCATCTTTCAATTTATTATGTGTGACATGTTTTCCGCGATTTTCTTTTTCAACTATGCCGCTAGAAGAAAGCTTTGCCACAGCTCCATACATTCAGTGTAGCCATAAAAAAAAGGCCCGGCATACTTGCCTTTTTTTCCCCATTGACAGTAAACGAGTAATTCATGGTATACGTTCGTCTTGAATTTTCAATCTTTCTAG